GTTGCCAGGATGCAGCCTAGTATGAGAAGAACAGATCTGGCTTTACCATCAGGACACCTAGGTTTGAGTCCTAACTTTCTTACTAGATGTAAGACTTGGGGGAAAATTACATAACTTTTTTAGTCTCAATTTCCTTGTCTATTAGATAAAAGCAGAGACACCAATCCATTTGACAGGGATATCATTTAGGGTCTAGTCAAGAATCTATGATATATTGTTCTAACTACTGAGATAGTTCAATATAGATATTAACAAATAACTTATTCCTTGAGAATATTAAGCACACAGTTCAGTTCTTCAATTCTTGACACTACTTGGAAATATAAGGATATAAAAATTTTAAAAGAAAATAGTATAAAATAGTTTTAAAACTCTGCTTGACTATGGAGAATTCTTTTTGAATTCCATTCCCACTATTTGTCCTTTGTGTTCTTTTTTTTTTTTTTTTTTGCGGAACTGGGGATTGAACTCAGGCCCTTGCGCTTGCCAGGGAAGCGCTTATTCCACTGAGCCATCTCCCCGGCCCCCGCCCCCCGAATGTCCTTTGTGTTCTAACTATATCCATTTCTGCCTGGTGTTTCCATCTAAATAAGAAAAGGAAAAATAGGAACACACTGTGACTTTCTAATAGTTAACACCACAAAGTTTTATAAAAATCCAGCTGGACTGGGAGGAAGGAAGGTGCATGTCCCTGCCTGGCTGTGTCTGGTTCACCTCTCAAGGCACTTCCTCCTCTCTCTAGACCCCGCCCGCCCGCAGCTCCCCACCTGACCAGGGCAAGGTGTTCTTTTGCTGTCATTCTCCCTGCGGGGCCTCATTGGAGCTTCAGTGGGTGGCCTCACACCTAGCCATGGTTTCTGATTCATGGCAGCATTCCATTTTTTTTTTTTTTTTTTTTTTTTTTAAGGAATGCTCGTGTCCAGGCTACATTTTTTCTTTATTTTTAGCCACATTTGGTTCAAAAGCCCTTGTGAAATATCTGCAGCACGCACAATTGGAGCTATGATACAGCTACTTTCTGATGCCTGGGACAGCGTGTGAAATGTTCTCCTGCACTGTTTGTTCCCATGATGGGTTTTCATCGAAGTTGTGCAACCCCCAGGGAAAGCTTGTCCTTGGGTGGTGAGAATGAACGCGGTAGGCTGACTCAGCCTCTGGGCCTGTTACCATGAGAACTGCTGTGGGCGGTGCTGTGGAGGTCAGTGGTGTTCGAGTATACTGGGGTCAGGTTTTACAAGTTGTTCTGACCAGATGGATGAAGAAGAAATGTGAGTTTCAGCAAATCTGAGGAAGTGGGAAAAGGAAAGGCTGTGGCCCAGGACGCTACCGTTTATAGAATGTGCCTGTGTCTTATGTGTCAGATGAGACATCAGTATACAAACTGACGTTTTCGTCTACATGGTTCCTGGCAGGTGTAGCTATCATTTTCCCCATTTTCCAAGGGAAAACTACGCATGATCATAATCATCTAGCCTAAAGAAGGGAAAAAGGATAGAACCCTGTGCTTTTCATTCTGTCATACTGTTTGCAAAAAGAGAACAGTGTACAGCTTTAATCATCTAACCTCAGTATCTTGCTGTGTTATATAGACAATTTTTTTGATACCAGACTCAGGACCTTGTGATTGCTGGGTAGGCACTTGTGCTGCTGAGCAGTATCCCGGCTATAGACATTTTTATGTGTTGTGCCTGCCTCTTACTCTGTTCTAATAATTGTGGTATCTCTCTACAATGTCATTATACCTTGGAGGCAAGGCCCCATAGCCATCTGATTTGATGGTTCCAGGAATTACTCACTGGACCTTTGTCCTTGGCATGGAGGTAACCATTTATGAATACTTTTGTTTACTTAGAATAATAAATCTGAGCAGGCTCTCTTGAATCCTGGGGAGTAGATTCCATTCACAGAGATCAGCTGGAAATTGGCAGCAGGACCAGTTCTCCTGATGACATAATCTGTTTTTTTCTTTGCCTTTTTGAGACAGGGTCTCACTATGCAGTTCAGATTGGCCTTGAGTTTACTTTGTAGCCCAGGCTCGTCCTCGTGCTTCAGCCTTCTGAGTGCTGGCATTACAGGCATGTGCCATCATTCCTTCCTTCATCTGTTCTTGTGCATGTTCTTCTTTGCTGTAAGAGAAAGCTGCCTAAAAAGGTGGTATTACTAGAGGATGATGTGTTGGGAAATGGTCCTTTATGCATAGGCCTTTTAAAAGAACTGAAATCTTTCTTAATAGCATTTTTTGGGAACTTTTTTATTTTGAGATGCTAAGGATCAAACTCAGGGTCTCACATACGCTAGTCAAGTACTTTCATCATTTTTTTTTTCCACTTTCACCATTGAGGTCCATCCCTAACCCACTGATGTTACCACTTTTTTTTTTTTTTTTTTTTTTTTTTTTTTTTTTTTTTTTTTTTTTTTTCAGAACTGGGGATTGAACTCAGCCCCTTGCACTTGCCAGTCAAGCATTTATTCTACTGAGCTGTCACCCCAGGCCCCCCCTTTTTTTGATGTTACCACTTTTTAAAAAAAGCACTACCTGCAAATGAAGGAAAATCGTACTGCTCCCCAGGCCCAATGTGGTTAGAGAGTCCTGGAGAAGAGGAGAGGGAGTTAGCACTGATGGGGAGCTGGCCGTGTCCTGGGTCGCCCCACTCCTGACTCACTCTGACATGCAACCTTAGGGCTCAAGGAGACAGCACTAAGGGTAATGGTGTCTCTTGAAGGCATAACATCAATCTTATTTTTATAGAAGACAGAGTAAATTACATTTTGATTTCTGTGGCTATAGAGAAATCTCCAGATCTTTCTCTCCCTTTGCTTGTCTACCACCCACCTGATAAACCATTCCCTCACCTATTTTCATGATTGCTGAGACTGAGTATCTGGATGTCTTTAAAAACTGTAAATATGGGTGTTTTTGCATAAGTTAATTGTATCACTAAGAAAATGTGCACTAAACCATGCTGATATCTATCTATCTATCTATCTATCTATCTATCTATCTATCTATCTATCTGAAGAATAAAAAGCAAACATTAGAACAGCTCTCCTAAGATAGACTCAAGAAAAGCAGTAGCCTAGTGCTTCCATGGACTCTCCCAGCCCCAGAGGAAAACAACAGTTGAGGAATGACTTTTCCCACTTTTTCTTTGGCAGATCATTATTTCTGATTAGCTACGGATTTATGAACCCTGGAGTAAGTTTAATCCCTACTAATAAGTTTTTAACAGAGCTATTTGGTCGTATTTATAACTTTTTAAAAGGCTGGCATCTGTTCCACATGTTAGGTTCCCCTTGTGGTTATTGACTTTGAGTCCACCTGTACGCCCAGAGGAGCAGAACATCCCTTTGTACATGCTAATGAGCTCCGTATGAGTACTTGGGAAGCAGCGTCATGTGCAGCGCTGTGCAGCTGAGCCCAGTCTCTACAGCGTAGATCACACCTGTAGTGTCTGCCTACCTCCATAAGATTCAGAGCCAGTTCACTAGTGATTGCCCTCTGTGTGTGTATGGACTATATTTACTTTTAGGAAACACATTAGCATTTCATATTTCTCATATTTACAAATGTAGAATACTTTATTTGCACATAGATGGCCCCAATAGATGAGATATGGCCCTGACTAGAAAAAAGAGTGAAGAATTAGATGTGAATAAATGATGTTTGAGTGAGATGGTGGACAGATGGAGGAGACAAAGACTGTAGGAAGGAGTATCACTGAATGACCGGCAGTGGCCACCGTGTGATTACTTTGCTGAAGTCACTGGACTGCCAGAGTCGAATTAAATGTGCTGGATTTTATTGGTGCTGTGTTCATTTCCCAGATCTGTGTGTTTGTTATCTTTTCTACTAAATTCACTCAGAAAGTCCAAATTCCTGCTTCTGAATCTCCAGCTTAGAAACTGATTTCTGACACTTGGTCTTTCTTTGTGTTGATCCTTGTGGAACTTGTTTTCCTTTCTGCCTGTCTCTTTGGTGTTTTAAAAAGGCAGACAGTCTTCCTTCCTAGGAGTGAAGCTTTCTGTTCCTATAGAAGCATCGAAGTCATCTGAAGGATGTCTTACACCTGCCTATTAGGAATTTAGATGTCCAGTAAAACCACACATTTTTACTCAACAAATATTTACTGAGCCCCTTCTATAGTTCTTCTTTGTAGAAATAAGCAAGAATAATGAGAATAATTAAACATTTATGTCAAAATACGTTTCCAAAAAATGACCTAGACTGAAATTTTCTTTGACTTAAGCATTAGAACCTAGGTTTCAAGGGCCAGCCAAATAGCACAGTAGATTAAAGTGCCTGCAAGCAGGCACAGGGGCCAGGGGTTTGACACCCCGACCTGCTGTGCTGGCCCTGCCCCAGGGGCCTGGTAAGGTGGCGTTTGAGACTGGGCATGGTGTCACATACCTGTAATCCCAGCTCTTGGGAGCCTGTAAACAGGCAGATCACTATGAATCCGATCTAGTCATGAGACCCTGAATACACTGTAGACCTTTCCTAAAAAAATACAGAAAAAAAAAAAAAAAAAAGAAAGAAAAGAAAAGAACCTAGGTAAGAGTTAGGAATTCGCTTGGTCCAAGCTCCTGGTTTTACTTAAATAGTGACAGTAAGCAGATTAATCAATAAGATGAGATCTAATAACATGTTTGAATTCTTCTTCCCAAATATCTCTTTAGAATGTACTTAAAATGAGATAGTTCTTGCAGTATGAGTGCAGTGAAAGTCTACAATGTACTCAGAGTAGAGGTGTGGCCTGGCCTCTGGGC